CCCGTTATACCATCACCTTTTCATCAGGGAGAACCAGCGCACAATATGGAAAACTGTTATCCTCTGAAATCTGAGGTACAAAGAATGGTAAGATCTGGCCTTTTGTCCTTTAATAATGTCAGCCCTAATGTAAAAGATAATCCTTTGCCAAAGCATAAAGGAACTAATGTTATCAACATGGTTGCTGGTTGTCCAGGGGACTTCCGAATTTATGATATCAACTTGGTCAGAGGAGACTTGGTAAAAATACACGTTGACCTCTGCGAGTTCAGTTACTATACGCATGACCATGCTAGTTGTGGTATCTGCAATACTGATATACAAGGGTGTGATAAGATAAAGGCTTATTTGTAAGAAATGATGGATGAAGGCCTCATCCATATAATCAGGCCTAGGGCAGAATACGATGAAGAAGTAAACATGGTCTTTGGGTGTCCTGGAGAGTTCAGGATCTTTGATGTGAACCATATGAATGATGACTTGGTGAAATTGCACGCTACCTTCTGCCACATGGAAGGTCAGGTAGAACACCACTATGGATCTTGTCCGGTTTGCTGCAGAGATTCTTGAGGTTGTTCGGTTGTGAAAAGAGGAATTCAGTTGTTATTGGATAATGGTACTATCAAGGTTTCAGGCCAAAGAGATGATTACCATGAGGTTAATATGATTGAAGATTGCTTGGTTGAGATTGAGTCGGATGATGGATATGCTTCTGTAGATGAATTCTTTTCCTCAGACAAAGATATGTTCTCCAGTGATGATTCTGCGATGACCAAATTTTCTGAAGAAGGGGTGAACATAATTGTGCCTTGTTTCAATGATTCCACCCCTGTCGAGATTGAATAATGTAGCAAGCCAATTGTTTCTCCAGTAGAGATTTGCTTGTCGGGCCCTGTTCCTTACAAATCAGACAAAGCTGTATCGTACAAGTACAATGCTACAATTCTTAAGGATGGTGTGGAAGTTCCCATCCAACCTTTGTCTAATGTCAAGAATATTGCTGAGGCCAGTAGATTGACCCGCAGTGGTCGTGTGTTGACACCTTTTATTCAAGGGAATGTTAGTGCCAATAAGAAGGTTGTTGAAAGTGTTGAAAATAAAAAAGCGGTAGGGGAGTGCAGTGGTGCTGCTCTGGAAAAAGAGGTGGATGATATATTGAAGATTATCAAAATGAGCGACTACAGAATTGTAGATCAATTATTTCAGACTCCTTCAAAGATATCAATTTTGGCCTTACTGATGAATTCTTCTGCTCATAGAGAATCTCTAATGAGAGTGTTGGATCAAGCCTTCGTAGAAAGTGATACGCCGTTAGACCAATTCATCAATGTGGTAGGTAATATTACATCTTGTAATAACCTAAGCTTCTATGATGACGAATTGCCTAACGAAGGAAGAAATCACAATCTAGCTCTCCACATGTGCATGAAATGTAAGAACGATTCATTGTCAAATGTGCTAATTGATAATGGGTCCTCCTTAAATGTTATTCCAAGTCCAAGGAGCACGCTGATGAAGCTGAAGTATCAAGGAGCTCCCATACGCCTAAGTGGAATTACTGTAAAGGCTTTTGATGGATCAAGGATGTCTGTTACTGGGGAAGTAGATCTTCCTATTCAGATAGCCCCACACTTGATCCATATTACTTTCAAGTCATGGATATTGTGCCCGCATACAAATTCTTACTAGGACGACCATGGATACATGAGGCAGGGACTGTCACCTCAACTCTACACCAAAAGCTGAAGTTCGGGCGTGAAGGAAAAGTGGTTATTATAAATGGAGAGCAAGCATTTTTAATTTCTCATCAATCCTCTTTCAGTGCTGTAGAAGCAGATGAAGCTAATGTTGGAACTCAGTTCCAAGCTTTGTCTGTTGATAACGTAAGGGAGAATGAGAATTCTATGGCTTCATTCAGAGATGCTCAGCAAGTTGTGCGCAATGGCTCTAGCAAGGTATGGGGACAGATTGTTGACCCTCCAGTAAACAAGAACAAGGCTGGTTTGGGATTCTCTGTGAAGAATGGTAAATGCGAGAGCTTGAAGCCAAAGTCTACTTTGGGCAGCTATCAGGATATTTTTCACAGTGGAGGTTACCTTCATCCAACTGTTTCTATGATCAACGCTATTGTGGAGGATGAAGAATAGCAGGAAATGCCAAATTATGTGACGCCTGGAGTTAGAGTCCATAACTGGGTCACCATTGATGTTCCCTTTTGCATCCATGTCTCAAAGTAATTTGCTTTTGTTAATCTTTGCAAAAAGCTTTCACCCTGCCCAAGGTTAAAGTTGATATTGTATGGGCTTATCTGTTTTCTTTGATCATTAAAATCATTAAAAAAAGTTGTCTTTGTTTTTCAAATTATGTTTTTATTTTCTTCTTTTTCTTGGAAAAATGGTAATCAGAAAAAAACCTTTTTGGAATAAATAATAACTGAAAATAAGTCTGCATGATCACTTGATATATGTGTCAGTTTCTAAAAGCAATCATAAATCATATGTGCAGATTAATTAAAAAATTGTTGAATACAATGACCCTGCACCCTCTCCCAACTTTGAATATCCTGTGTATGTGGCCAAAGAAGAAGAATATGATGATATTCCAAAAGAGGTTTCACGGATGCTCGAGCGCGAGGAAAGTTCCATTCAGCCGTATAAAGATCAATTGGAGACAACCAATTTGGGTTTAGAGGAAGATCCGAAGGAAGTCAAGATTGGAGTATTGCTACATACTGATGTGAATAGCAGGTTGATTGAATTGTTGAAAGAGTATGTGGACATCTTCGCTTGGTCTTACCAAGACATGCCGGGTCTAGATACTGATATTGTGGAGCATCATTTGCCGCTGAAGTCAGAGTGCCGCCAATCAAGCAGAAATTGCTAAAAACTCACCCTGATATGAAAGTGAAAATTAAAGAAGAGGTATTAAAGAAAATTAATGTCGGTTTTCTTGTGACATCAGAGATTTTAAAAATACAACATCTCTAGGATCCATACAAGATGCTAGAGATTTGTTTCCCCATAAAAATATTTATTTTTCGTTGATATCCATCTTCTGAAAAGTTAAGCTCCCATCTCTGTTTAATCTTTCAAAAGTTGAACTCTCTTCTTTGTTTAACTTGAAGAAAGAATGACTCTCAGCACTTGCAATCTATCAAATGAGCAAAAATACAACAACAACATTTCTCCAAAAAAAATGTAACACCATTTTGTGAGATAGATTATAAGGCAGAAAAAATATTTTGTTCTAGATAGAAGAACATTGAAGATTTATTATGTCTTGCAATCTATCATAAATAATTATGAGAGTTTGGGACGGCTTCATATTAACACAGATTAAGATAAAATCTAACGATTGCTTTTATAGTAAAATCTGACTATTATATCTCTAGAATTATTTATAAAACCGAGGTAACGTTATTATTAATTTTTTAACTATCACCGCGGTTAAGGTTAAAAACTGAGGTGATAGTTATTATTATGATTTTTTAATATTATATTGTCTACGCATAATATTAAAATAAATTGTTTACAACAAATCTTTTCAATGATTTTTCTACATTTGCGATCCATCATAAAGGTGTTGATGCTTGAATCTCAGAACTTTGCATCCGAGAATGATTGTTGATGCTATCATTATCACTTCCTTCACTAGCGTATACAATGTGCATGTTTTGTATGCATCCAACTTCTAATAAGGTGTTTGTTCTAAAAATTGAAAAATATTTTTTCTCCACTTGCAATCCATCAGTAAAGACTTTTAGGAATAAATGATAGTTATTCAAAACCTTCAACAAGAACAACAAGAACAACAACAACATCAACACCATTGTTTGAGATGAATTACAAAAGCTGGAAAAAATATTTTATTTAAGGTAGAAGAGCATTTTTTTCTTCCAATTTTACAATTCATTCTAAAAAAAATGATGCATTCAATAGTGTGGCAGCTACAAATAAGATAACATTAGGGTAAAATATGTTCAACGAGTGTTTTTATAGTAAAATCTAATTATTTCATCCCTCAGACTATCAAAGAAATCGAAGGGTTAGATCATTTATTTTACACTTGTAAACAAATAAAAACATAAAGTGCAGTTGTTAGGATTCGAACCATGTCCGAAATGATATATCACTTTGATTTTTAAAATAACTAAGAGTACAAGTTATTTTTTTAAATAAAAAATATGGTGCATCTTGAAATAAAACCTCAATTTTTTTTCTGGATGACGTGTGAGTTTCGTCATGAAAAACGTTATTTATTATAGTGTGTATTTAAATTATAAAATCATTCTAGTAAAAAAAATATTTATATATATTTTTAAATTTAATTTTAATACATTTAAATTTAATAAATAAATAAAAACATATTAATTTTTATAAATAATAAAATAAATTTAAATGACATAAAAAAAATCCATTAACACTAATAAAAAACTATTTTAATTTCTTAAAGTTATGAATAAATAAATATATTTATTATATATAATATATCATTAAATAAATATCTTTTTTTAAAAATATTATATTTTTAATTGAATGTCAAATTCTTTTTTTATTTTATTTATATATGGGTAGTTGGCTTATAAATAAAAAGGTGGGTAGTTAGTTGGTTGGTAATCGACAACAAGGAGTGGTGGGTGAAGTGTTACATCTAGCTTCTAGATGTGTATTACCATTTTCAGGCAATTTCTGGCAATAGGTAGGTGTTGTGCGTTCCCATTTTGCAGTAAGAATATTATTAAACTAAGTAAAAATTCAATTCAATTCAATTCAATTAACCAAACGTGTGTTGTTCAACGCGCATTGACTATCTGGTGACTTCAAAACCCAAACACTATCTCTACCTACCTTCCCATTGTTGCTCCAATCCCTTCATATACTTACAGGTTAAATTAAAATCAACTTGTTTATTCTAATTTTAGTCATAATCTCTGAGTTTATGATCATGGTCTTTTAATTATCATAGCCTATTGTTTTAACTGTGCAGCAATTTTGCATTAAATGGCTTCTGGTGCTTCCATACCAGCTCAACAGGTGAGTCATTTTGTTTGTGAAGTTAATTATTACCCAAACATGATATTCTGGTCAATAATGAATAGCTATTTTTGAATTTTGATGTTGAAGGATGTTCTTGTAGAAGAAATAGATCAGGTAAGGATAGTCACTTTGAACAGACCAAAGCAATTGAATGCTATCTCACCTAACCTGGTAAAGTTCACTCAACTCGACCTTCGATTTTTTTCTATATTGGTTAATGTCTAACTCTACATATTTTATGTGCTTGTCGGGTTACGGCTTTTCACCCTTCGCTTTCGATGTGTATGTATGTGGGGCCATTAGGCCAGTCATCTAACATATTTTTGTTAAATCTCTGAATCCATTCAGGTTTTTCTGCTAGCAAAGTATTTGGAAAATTGGGAGAAAGATGAGAAAGCAGAGCTAATCATCATGAAGGTTGTAATTTACTTAATTATCCTTTGAAATTGTTGAAATGGCCCTATTAACAGTTAAGTTCAGAGCGGACCATTAACAGTTTGATTTCGTTTTTACGGAGCTGTTGTCAGTTCAGTTCGATTCGGTTTTTATTCTTGGATCGAACAACTAACTGTCATGGTTCTAACAATTGAATTACCTATCAAAATTAAACAATCTACTACTATTTACTGATGCGCATTTGACTTGTTTATTATTAGGGAGCTGGTAGGGCTTTCTGTGCTGGAGGAGATTTGAGAGTATTCTATGGTGGCAAGATCACAAGTAAGTCCATCACTCTGTACGATTTTATCGAATCTGTGTAAACAAGTTTGTAGAAACATACAACGGTTTTTTCTATTTAATTGGCAAAGAGGATGATGTTAGAAATGGACTCGCTATTGCCTATGAAGCGCGAATATAGACACAGATATCGGACTAGACATTGACACGTTCCTATTTTAAGAAAATAGAAATGGTTGAATTTAATGTAACTACATGTGCCAGTGTTGAGTCAATGTTAGATATTGGCATGTGTCAGACACCAGACACGCTTCAATCTGAAGTAACAGTGCTACATAGCTTCCTGCCATGAATGTTTCCAGCCGTCCCTATCTCAACTGAAGGATGAAGACGAGGATGACTTGAATTTCGAGTTGTATTTTAAATCTGACTTTTTAAAGTTAAAATACAAGTCGGTCGATCTCCATCCAATAGCCTACATCCACGATTACAGTGACAATGACAATACCGTTTGCATATATCATCATATTTGCATCGTCCAACCTCTTTTGAAGAGTAATGAATTTATTATTGACAGGGGGAGATTCAAATCTTGAAGTTGTCTACAGATTTTACTGGCTTTGCCATCACATTAGTACCTATAAGAAAACTCAGGTTCTGTTTACTAACTTAATTAATCCCACTGTTCTTAATCATTTAAAGCATTACATGATGCTCCTAACAATTTAGTGAAGTTTCATGTTTTCTAAAAGATTGTTCTTATGTTACATTAGGTTGCTCTTGTGAATGGAATTTCAATGGGTGGAGGTGCAGCATTGATGATCCCTTTGAAGTTCTCAGTCGTAACAGAAAAAACAGTGAGTAATTTTATCTTATAAATAGATCATTTATCTAAATCCCTTTCAGTTTTGTGGCGTAATTGTCAATGTATGCTTTGACAGGTTTTTGCCACTCCTGAAGCAAGTTTTGGATTTCATACTGATTGTGGTTTCTCATACTACCATTCTCGTTTGCCAGCGAATTTAGGTAGGTACCATTATCTCACCACACAAAAACTTTTATCTCGCGTTTTCTTCTGAATTGCATAGAAAACTTGAGAGATTATTTCATGTATGTGTGTAATATACAGGAGAATATTTGGCACTTACGGGAGCGCGATTGAATGGAAAGGAATTAGTTGCAGCTGGACTAGCAACACATTTCGTCTCTTCTGAGGTTTTGATTATGTTCACTACTCACATATGCTTGCATAATTCATAGATACATAGTTTAATTTTGGCATCATAATGAACTTATTACTTAATTGCCAAAAACCAAAGGGAATCAGTCGGTTTCATTCTGTTTTAAATCAAACTGCATTTTTTTCTTCCATAAACGATACATACATGCTAACTCATCATGAACAATACCATTATTATCTTTGAGGAGTTCGGAATGTTTTTGATTCACATACTCTTTCCTATTATCGGAAATTAATCTTTTAATTGAGAAACACTTCACACCTATCTTTCGTGAGAAATTTCAATGTAACTCGAGCGAAATTATTAATAAAAGAAGCAAACTACTTTGTAACAGAAATGTTAAAAATAGATGCAGGTCCACACATATCTGAATGAACAAGATTAAAAATAGAGCGGAATTTCAATGTAACATGTTTTGAATGTAGATACATGAACCATATGTAACTTTCCATATGTTTGCCAGGGAAAGCAAGTTTATGTTAATTTGATCATATTTTCTATGTACCAGAAAATTGGTGAGCTAGAGAAGCGCTTGATTAGCTTAAATTCTGGTGATGAGAATGCTGTGAGATCAGTAATTGAAGAATTTTCTTCAGTGGTTAAACTTAATGAAGACAGTATCTTAAACAAGTAATTACAAAGATTCTAGTATTTTTTAGTTTTATTCTTGCAATAACCTTTGAATTCACTCTTCTTTGACAGTAACAATTGGAGATTTTTTTCAGGAAATCAATAATCGATGAGTGCTTTTCAAAGGATTCTGTTGAAGAAATTATTAAATCGCTGGTAAGTTTCATACCATTTCTATAGGAATATTATTTTATAACCGTTTCGTTTCGACCGTGTTCTATATCGGCCCTTGAATGATACTATAAGTTTTTGATATGAAGGAAGCTGAATCAAGCAAGGAAGGAAATGGATGGATAGGTCCAGTTTTGAAAGAAATGAAAAGAACATCACCTACTGCATTGAAAATAGCATTAAGATCGGTAAAGATTTTATAAAAATTGAAAATAGCATAAAGACTATAGAGTTCTTCTGTATACTCAATAAAATACTGTCTTGGATATGTTCAGGTTCGTGAAGGAAGGAATCAATCCCTTTCTGAAAGTCTCAAAAAGGAATTCAGATTAACGATGAATATACTCCGAGCTACGATATCTGAGGATATGTACGAGGTAAATTTCGCAATGTCATTGCTAGAATAAGTTTTGACAGAAGACAGTTCAATGTTAAAAATGTTTTTGTTCTGTTCCCTACTAAATATTCTGAAGAAAACTCTCACTTTCATTTGATTTTAAGGGTATTAGAGCTCTCACCATTGACAAGGACAATGCTCCAAAGGTACATTCGCTCATTTTATGTGTATCTTTCCTCTGTACATACATGCATGATTTTGTCCAGAGCCAGCCGTCTTTAGTTTTTGGAGGCCTGTATGTTAGTCATGGTTGACCCATGACTAATAAAATAGAGGCCCTATTTTGTCAAAGTTAAACCGTGACAAATATTTTATGAGGCATTATTTAGCCACGGTTAAATCATGTTAATTTTGGACTCTATGCGGTAGCCCGCCCTCAAAGACGACCCTGATTCTGTTTGTATGAATTATCTCAAATTTTGTTTTTAATCCTAATATCGACTTTTCGGTGTTTACAAATACTAAGTAATAATCTACTTGTTTAGTGGGATCCTGCAACACTTGACAAAGTAGATGATGAGAAATTGGACTTAATCTTTAAGCCTTTTGACAAGGAATTGGAGCTTCAGATTCCAGAAAGTGAAGAATGCAGGTTGGTTCTTGTTTGAGTTTTGAACTAATAAGCATGTTTTATGAAACTTATTTTGTTATGATTACTAAAGGTCATTTTTTTAAAATCCAAACAGGTGGGATGGTAAATATGAGAATTCAGCTTATGCTATTCCGAACAGAGAAACACCAATATCAACTTAGATGTTGGTGTCTATTTATATAAGAGGTTTCTGAATAATTTATACATCTTCTGGACACTATTTTTAATAATTTTTATTTATTTTTATATTTAATTATTAATGTATTTAGTTCATATATGGACCAGATACATTGATAATCAAATGAATAAAAAAAAAGTAAAAGTTAGTGTACGGATAGTGTATGATTCATTGAGGTTTGAAATAGTACTAGAAAAAGCCTTCCATGGTTATTATTACTATTCGCTGAAATGAAATTATGTAACTTCAGCTAGACTAGAAGTACCTATGGTGAAGAGCATGTTTGAATTAATTTATTTGAATTTATCTACTTATATAAAAATTTGTGTAATGATTATATGGAATAACTTATAATATTTCTGAGATCTTTTCATCTTATTTTTATATAGTGTCCACTATACCGTTTTTTTGTTCAACTGTCCAGGATGGCTGATAAAAACATACTATAAACATGTTTGAATTAATTGATTTTATTTGATTTTATTAGTATAAATATCTATCTATACACATACACTTATATAAGTATTTATGCTATGAGCACTTAATTAAATGGTTAATCTAAACATAGCATAACTATCAAGCATCAGAATGGCATGGGCATATTTGTTGAAAATCCATTTAAATCTATGATTATGAAGAATTTATATCTATCTTGATGAACAAGATTATTATTAATATATAATAATAATGAAAGGAAGAAGATGATGATTTTTCGTAGAGTTTTTCTCTATCCACAAATTTTGAAAAAATCTTATTCACTTTATAGTTGTAAAATTCGGTGAATACAAATTGATTACAATATAGGAGTTACTCCTTATTTATAGTTTAGGTTAAATATGTTTTTAGTATCTATAAATTACCAAATTTTATTTGTGGTCCTTATAAAAAAACATGACATGTTTTAGTCCCTACAAAATTATTATGTACTACGTAGTTTTAGTCTCCGCTGTTAAATCGATGTGTATTTTTGAACGATTATTTTGCAGATATGTTTAGAACGTTGCAAAAAGTTACTCTAAAAAAAAGGAACTCAAAATTTGATTTTTGAGTCGAGATTTTCATTACTTTTATCAATATCTTTTAAAATTTTAAAAATTCATATTTAATTCTTCTCATTTTAAAAAATTTTAAAATTTGATAAAGAAACATTTTATAGTATTCTAAACACGTATGTAAAAAATTATTCAAAGATTTTAAAGTTTAAGGGTAATTAAACAGTTTTTAAAATTTTAGAAAATAGCAGGGATTAAAACTACATGAATAAAAACATTTTAGAGATCAACATTTATCATTTTTTAATAGGGAATAAAAATAAAATTTGAGATATTTATAGGGACTAAAAACATATTTAATCCTTATAGTTTTAGGTTAGCTTTCTCCCTAAGCCAAAGCCCAAAATACAAAATTCCAAAATAACTATTTTAGATTTAAGTCGAAATCCTATGTGAAGCTAATTGCTTTGACACTTCGACATCTAATACAACTCGACACACATTAGACTAGTTCGACACATTCTCTTGTTCTATCGAGCAACATGCTACTTTGACATAAGGAATTACAATCTCAACACACCACATAATTCATTGTGTCTAAGCTATCTACATTCATCATATCTCTTAGTCTTCTGAACACTTCGACCTGCACTCCCTTCTTCATGATGTCTGTTATATGATTCTCAGTTATGCAGTGTTTCAAGTTCATCTTCCCTTCTGCTATCTGCTCACGAAGATAATGGAACCTCATTTCAATGTGCTTGCTTTTGTTATGTGCTATCATTTTTTTTCCCAGATAATAGCTAACATACTATCGATGTTCATGGTGATTGCTTCATGATTCTTCCATGTAATCTCTTCGACCAAGTTCACCATCCATGTTGCTTGACATGCACAAAGAGAAGCAACTATGTACTCCACTTCACATGACGATAATGCCACTACTGGTTCTTTTCTCGAACTCCAAGCAACTGATGCACCATCTAGCATAAACACATAGCCAGTTGTGGATTTTCAATCCTCAACATCACTACACTAACTTAAGTCGATGTATCCCTCTAACTTGCATTCTTTTCCTTTATCGAATGTAGAAAACAAAATGTCACAGTCGAGAGTTCTTTTGAGATACTTTAGTATCCTCTTCGTTGCTGCTAGGTGTGATACCTTTGACTTTTGCATGAATCTACTCACCATACCTACACTGTATGCTAAGTCAGGCCTTGTCTGATAAAAGTACCTTAATGACCCAATAAGTATTCTGTATTGGGTTGGGTCGACATCATCTTCATCTGAGTCTTTCGACAGTTGCAGTCTTGGTTCAGTAGGTGTCAAAGTCGAGTTGCATTCTTCCATCTCAAATCTCTTGAGATTTTCACTTGCATATCTTCTTTTATGCATCATCAATCCTCTACCACTCTTGTAGAATTCGATACCAAGGAAATATGAAATGTCTCTCAAATTTGACATTTCAAATTCCTTGCTGAGATCACCTTTGAAGCCTTTGATCTCTTTATTGTAGTTATCTGTTGTTAACAAGTCAACGACATAGAGACATAGTATAAGCAATTCACTATTGCTTTTTCTTACATATACTCCATGCTCAGTTTTGCACTTCACAAATTCCTTTACCCTTAGGAAACTGTCAATCTTCTTATTCCAAGCTCTTGGAGCTTGTTTAAGTCCATACAGGGCTTTATGTAACATGTACATCATTCTTTCTTCACCATGCTTCACAAATCCAACTGGTTGTACAACATAAACGTCTTCATCTAAGGATCCATTTAGGAATGCACATTTCACGTCCATATAATATATGTGTCAATTGTTCATTTTTTCTAGACCAACAACCAACCTGATTGTTTCAATCCTAGCAACATGTGCAAAAGCCTCATTGAAGTTTATTCATTCTTTTTGAAGAAATACTTTCGCCACAAGTATTGCCTTGTGTCGATTTACCTCTCCTTTGGAATTCAACTTCAACTTATATACCCACTTGAGATAAACTACCTTCTTTCCTTGAGGCAATTCAACAAGTGACCAAGTGTTGTTGTCTTCGATGGACGTCAATTCCTCATTCATTGCTTTCACCCACTTCGAACCCTTCAATGCCTCAGATGCATTATCTGATTCAACACCTGCATAGAAAGCACAGTGTACCGACTCACCTTTATTATCGACCATATCATATGATGTAATCACATAATTCTGCAACCCTGCAGGCATGTGTCTTGTTCTTTGAGGTTTCCTTCAGCTTGCATCATCTCTGACTTCTCCCTATCAAACTTATTCTCTTTTGATTTCAGTGGCTGGTTCTTCACATGATATTCTTACTGAATCTTTCTTGACATTTTCAGTCCAATCCCACTCCTTAAGCTCGTCTATGATCATGTCCCTGCTGATCACTACTTGCTTGTTTACTTGGTTGAACAACTTGTATCCTCCAGTCGAATGATATCCTATTAGGATTATTTGACTCGACTTCTCATCAATTTTTCTTCTCAATTGATCTGGCACATGTCTATGTGCTATAGATCCAAGCACTTACAGATGACTCAAGCTAGGTTTTACACCAGACCAACATTCTTCTAGCGTAATTCCTTCCGGCTTCTTCATCGGACATCTATTCAGGATGTATGTTGCACTCGATGTAACTTCACCCTAAAACTCTTTAGGTAAATGTTTGCCTTTTAACAAACTTATCACCATATTCATGATGATTTGATTCTTCCTTTATGCAGTTCCATTCTGCTATGGAGTGTAGGGTGGAACCACCTCATACACAATCCCGTCTTTCTCATATAACATGTCGAAGTCTTTCGACACATATTCTCCACCACCATCAGTCCTCATAATCTTGAGCTTTCGACCACTTTGTCTTTCGAATGTAGACTTAAACTTGGCAAATACCTCGATCACTTCACGTTTCTTCTTGATCAGGTAAGTCCAAAGTTTTCGACTGAAATCATTTATGAATGTGACAAAGTATTTGTTACCTCTAGTCGAATCCACCTGGATTAAACCACATACATCAGAGTATATGATTTTAAGGATAGCCTTCAACTTTCTTCCTGCATCCTTGCTGAAGTTATTCTTGTGCTGCTTCACTTGCACACATTCCTCACACACCTCATTTGGAATGTCGATTTCTGGAAATCATGAAACCATATTTCTTCTTTTCAAATTTATGATGTCTTTGAAGTTTAGATGGCCAAGTTGATAGTGCCATATTTATTCATCTCTTCTAGTTGCAACTACAAGGTACTTGTGCTCCATACATTTAGTTTGATCTTGAAGGTTCTATTCTGAGATAGAGGAGCCTTCAAGATTAATCTTCCTTTTGCATCGACAACTCTCATCATCTTGTCTTTGGTCAACACCTTATAGTTCTTTTCGACCAACTACCCTATAATGAGCAAATTGCTCTTCATGCCTGGTATGTACAATACATTGGAAATTATTGACCTTTTTCCATCTTTCCTCATAATCAGAACATCACCAATACCTTCAGCTTCTAGAGTATTTTCATTTGAAAATTTTACCATGTTCTTCATCCACAACTTTATGTTAACAAACCAATCTTTCCTCCCAGACATGTGTGATGAGAATCCTGAATCCAAGTACCATTGGTCCTTGAATATCTCTTCATCTCTTGTTGTGACCATCAACATCATCCATTCTTCTTCATGTTTTGCAAACTTTTCATCACCTTCTTAATTCTTTTGTTTTTCTGGACATTCACTAGAATAATGACTATACTTCTGACAATTGAAATACTAAATGTGACTATTATCAGGTTTTCAACCACCACCTCTTCCTCTACCTTAAGCACCACCTCTTTGGTTGCCTTGATATAGGGGTCTTCTCTTATTCAACACAATTTCTTCCTGCTGGTTTCCTCTACCAGTTGAATTGTTGTCGCTTCCTCTACCTTTGTTGTCGAACCACTTTCTTTTACATATCTTTTCTCTTGTTGACTGCGCCTGCAAATCCA